TAGAGAGTCCAGGGGCCATGCTTTCCAGGGCGCCTCCAGTCTCAGTCAAACCATTAAGTCTGGTCTTCTTACTAGAATTTGAGTTCTGCATCCCATCCTTCTACTGCTCCATCAGGGACCCTCTGTTGTGTTCCCTGTCAGGACGTTCATTGGTGGTAGCCGGGCACCATCTAGTTCTTGTGGTCTCGGGCTGATGAAGTCTCTGGTTTATGTGGCCCATTCTGTCTGTTGGGCTGATACTTTCCTTGTGTCTTTGGTGTTCTTTGTTGGATGTTGTTTTAATTAAGTGACCTGTTTCCTTTGCCTCTGTGGTTCACAGAACATTTCAGAACTCTTTTAAGAATCTTGTTTAGTGCTTTAAGTTTTGGGACTTACTTTAGATTGTCTCTTTAAAGCTCCTCCTAGGTGCCTTGGCCTCTTTAGCAGTAGACAGAGGATTCAGAAGGTCTTGGCCAAGTGGTGCATCAAGGCCAGCCTGCCTTTCGCTCCCGTCCTGCCGTCACATCCTGTCTGGATGGCGGGGCAGTGCACCATTGCAGGAAGGCTGCCGCTGAGCATACAGTCTCATGGGGCATTGGCATGTCAGGTGGGGGAAGCTGAGTGGGAAGCCGAGCCAGGCCTTAGGCTCATGACCAGGCCACCCTCTGGCAGCAGAGACTGCATGTGATAGGCCCACAAGGCACAGCAGCTTTGACAGCTTGAGTGATTCCAGGAAGCCAGCAAACCTGGGCTGAGGAGAACTTGGTAAAGAGTACCTGTGTGATGGTGGCGGCGGTGGTGATGATGACAACAGTGATGACAGTTGTTGTATATTGAACAAAATACCCAATAGGTTCTTTATATTTGTTGCATCATTGACACTTCCCATAAACCCTGTGAGGTACTGTTATAAAACCCATTTTACAAATGAGGAAACTGAGACTCAGAGAAATTAAATGACTTATCCAGTGCCACTCAGCTGGAAAGTGATAGAACCAGAGTTAAACTGAGGTGTGAGCTGACTCTAGCTCCATGTAAGCTGCCATGAATTGCCATTCTCAAAGCTCACAGGAACTCCCTGAAGTAGGCCACACCTCTACCTCCAGACGAGGGTAAACAGTTGCTCATGGGTCACCAGCCAGGGGCCGGAGCCAGGTCCACACGCAGCTCCTGAGCTGCAAACAGCCAGCCCACTGCTCTTCTGCCATTGGCCCCAGGACTCTGGATCACTTAATCCCAGAAACAGACAGTACCTCCATTCTGCCTCCTGCTCTCAGCTTACCCTGCATACCAGGGTAATTAAGGCATTGATTTTAGTAAGTGTCCTCCTGCTGGACAGGCCCCAGGAGATGCCACTGGCACCATTGCTGCTGAATGTCCCACACCACAACTCCCACCTTCCTCCCACAGACCCACCTGTCCCTGCCACAGCCCAGGAGTTCATGGCACTGTTCTGGTCAGGAGCCTTAGGCTGCCCTCTTACCCCAGGGCTGGCAAAAATGAGACTGTGGCTAAGTAAGGACTATAAGCAGAGAATTCTTATTATATGGATGTGTTTTCAGTCAGCAAGTATTTATTGAGGCCCTACTACTCACCAGGCACTAGACTGAGCAATAACTAGGGATACATCAGTGAGCAAGACAGACACCGTTTCTGCCCTCAAGGAGCTCACTGCCACAGAAAAACCCATGGCTGGAAAGCATTTCCAGTACCAGGGGCCTGTTCCCATGGAAGGGGCGAAGAGACAGCAGAAACATGGTAGGGCTGGGGCTGGGGTCACTGTGAGATCTACAGGATCTGATTGTGGACCTGGCTGAGGGCAGCAGAAGGAATGTTCAGGTAAAGGCAGCAGGCTGAGAGGCAAGGCTGAGAGGACCATGCAGGAATGGTTCTGACCCCATGGAACCCTCTCTGGCTCCACCTCCCCTCTTTGGTGTATAGTCCCTTTAAGGAGCATACCATCTACACATGTTGCATTTTTTTTTTTTTTTTAATTGTTAGGGTTTAAATGAAGTTTACATTTCCAGTTAGTCTCCCATACAAAATTGTATACATACATTGTTTTGTGACCCGAATTGCTCACCCCATTCTGCAACAGCACATTCCTCCTTTCTGCCCCTGATTCCTCATGTCCATTCAACCCGCTCCTAACCCTCTCTGCATTCCCATCACATGTTGCATTTTTAAACTGTGAGCTTCTTAAGGCGCTATGGGGCCCAGAGCTCTGAGGAGCCCCCTAGCGGGTTTCTGGGACCCCAGGGCTGGGCAATCTAAGCTCCTCCCTGAGCGAGTAAGGCGGAGGTCTGGGCCACCCAGCTGCACTAACAGCTCCTGCTGGATTAGCCTGTGCCCCCTGGCCAACCCCAACACCTAGGAAAGCTACTCTTTGCTTCAAGGACTTTACAGGCCCCTTTTCCTCTTCAGGGCCCTCATTTGGTTTCCTTTTGTCCCCACATGAAGCCCACACTTCTTCCTCCTCTTCATCCTGTGTCTCCTCGAAGGTCCAGCTGCAGCTGCTGACGGCCATCGTGAAACTCTTTCTGAAGAAGCCTACTGAGACCCAGGAGCTGGTACAACAAGTCCTCAGCCTGGCCACTCAGGTGGGTGCCCAGCCTCCAGCAGGGGGAGCTTTGGTTCAAGGAACCAGACCTCAGTGTCCCACCCAAGACTGGCGCCTCTGGGAGTTTGGCTCCAGAGTAATCCAGTTCAGGGAGCTCAGAGTCTATGTGGGAAGTGACAAATCACAGTGGAGTGGGTCAAGTGGTGAAGTTGTGACAGTGTAAACAAGAGAGGAGAGTGAGGGCCAGCAGTCAAGGAGAGCTGCATGGGGAGGGACAGGTCTGCAGAGAATGCAGAGAGTTTGGATGGGAGTCAGGGAGGACAGACCATAGAGGAGAGCCCAGCAAGTGGAGACAGGTGGGGACTACAGTGGAGAACCACGGTGGGATGAGTCCAGGGGCCAGAGACATGTCCGCTTAAGTGGCTTAGAGACGGGCTCCTGGGAGTGCTCAGGCATTGCTGCCGTCGACCAGCTGTGTGGTCATGCCTGGTTCTCTGGTTAAGTTTCATGGACTTCTCGTCACCCCCACAAGGACTCCGATAACCCGGACCTGAGGGACCGTGGCTACATCTACTGGCGCTTATTGTCCACCGACCCAGTGGCTGCCAAGGAGGTGGTGCTGGCTGAGAAGCCGCTTATCTCTGAAGAGACAGACCTCATCGAGCCCACACTCCTGGACGAGCTCATCTGCTACATTGGCACACTGGCCTCCGTCTACCACAAGCCACCCAGCGCCTTTGTGGAGGGCGGCCGGGGCGTTGTGCACAAGTGCCTGCCACCCCGCACCGCCTCGTGAGTGACATTGGCTGAGCCACCCCGCCTGGTTCCTTAGTTCAGTAGTGCCAGCACTCAGGCCTGGTGTGATGGCCCCTGCCGAGGCCTGAGTCTGAGGAAAATCACGTGTCTAAGAGACCTTTTATTGAATGGTACTACACACTAGGCATTTACAGTGACCTCATTCGATCCTTATAACAGCTCTGAGAGAAATGTTCCCACTTAATAGACGAGGACAACAGGCTAGAGAGCTTGAGTGGCTGGCCCAGGATCCCACGGCTAGTAAGGGGCAGAGTCCACATTCTCCTCGCCTTTCTCCCCAGCCGCTGCCAGGTGGTTGGTGCTGCCTGGTCACACAGTTCTCCAGGGACTAGCATCCAATTTTCTTTGGGATGTGGGGACACAGACTCTCTCCCTTCACTCATCCCCATGAACTGGATCTTGTGGAATGCCTAAAAGATGGATCAAATGTGGCGAGTGGGGCGGGGGGAGAGGGCCGTGTAGACAGCCCCCTCTTGGGACAGTGTGGGTGCCTGTCCTGGTGGAGGATCCCCCCTGACTGACCCTCTCCCTTTCGTGTCCCCAGCAGGAATGAGAGCGCAGAGAGCCCTGAGGCGGCCCCCACCGGAGCCCCCCCTGCTGAGCAGCCTGATGTCATCCCCCCTCAGGGTGACCTGCTGGGAGACCTCCTCAACCTGGATCTCGGCCCTCCAGTGAGCGGCCCTCCCCTGGCCACCTCCTCAGCGCAGATGGGAGCAGTGGATCTTCTTGGCGGAGGCCTTGACAGCCTGGTATGTCCTGGGTCCCCCTCTCTGGGTGATGTTGCTAATCATGAATGCCCCCTGTGCTGGGTACCAGCCAAGTATCTCAGGTACATTGAAGTTAGTCCTTACCACCTACCTGTGAAGGTGAGTGTGGTGGGGCCTTATTAGAGATGAGAAAGCCAAGGCTTAAGAGAGATTAGGCACCCTTCCTTCCATGGTCATACAGCTGCTAAGCAGCTGAGACAGGATTCAGACCCCTTGTTCAGCTGCTGAGTACCAAGAGACCTAGGGCAGTGCAAGGCCAATCCTTGCCCTTCCCTTACTCCTACCCTGTAAGGCCTGGGACTTTCTTGGCCTTTGAGAGTCAGGCCTGTGGTCTCGTACTCTCACCCTCTGCACCAGGCAAATTTGGGCCTGTCTGTTGAAAGGGGCCACAAGAGGTCAGGGACAGAGCGTCCCTCCACCCCTGTAGGAATGGAGGTGGGTGAGCCTGGCCCAGTGTCTCCTCAGAGTTCCTCAGGCAGCTGGTAAGCCAGGTAGAGGGGAGCTGACACCCTGTCCCTCGGCCATGCCCAGCTCTGGTCCCCAGGGCTGCAGCACAGGGAGGAGTCTGGTGACCAGCACCACCAGGGAAGGGACGTGAGGGGGCAGGATGCAGCCATGGGGTGCCCTTCATGAGGACAGCGTCTGGGCCTCTTCCAGGCCCCTGCACAAGCTGGTCTCCGATAGAGCAGCAGCTGACTAATCTTTTCCCTCTTTCCTTTTCTCTTTCTGTTCTTTCCTGGCTTTTCTCTCTGCATGTGGCTGCTGTTCTCTTCACCCTGCCTACTTCTGCTTGGAGATGGGGGATGAGTCAGAAGGGGTACGGTTCAACCCTTTTGTGTCACCAAGCCTTGTCCCTGTTCCTCCTAGGGGCACTGGCCTAGCCTTGAAAGGGATGGATGATGGCCAGGCGGCCCCTCCCTGCCTAGCCTGGCCTCGTCCTCAGTGTCCTGGTGACTTTCACTTCATTGCCTGACATCCAGCTGCCATGAGCCCCCATGTCCTCACAAACATCTTGTCCTGAGGTCACTGGTCCCTCCAGTCCCCGTGGCCCTGTGCCCTCCCAAGGCCAAGCTCCTCCCTGCTCAGCCCAGCCCCCTCCCAGCAGTGGCCTCAAGTCCCATTTGATCCATGGGCTGAGTGCTAGTTTGGGGGTGTCTCCAGCCCTTTCCCGGGGCATGAGAGGGGCTCAGCCTCTTTTAACCCACCTCACTCTGTCTTTCTGCAACTTAAAGGTGAGGTGGATGGCAGACCTTCAGTCCCTCTCCTGCCCCCACCCCACTGCTTCTAAAGAGCCAGGGGGCTCCACTCCTGTCTCTGGGCCCTGCTGCCCCTGCCTTTGATGCCTGGCCCTGACCCCTTTCTGTTCTTTCCAGATCGGCAGCACCAATTTCACGCCCCCCGCAGCAGCAGTACCAGCCAGCCTAGGAGCACCTATTGGCAGCGGCCTGAGTGACCTCTTTGACCTGACCAGTGGCGTGGGCACCCTGTCAGGATCATATGTTGCCCCCAAAGCAGTAAGTAACATGGCTTCCCTCATAACAGGAGCAGAGAGAAGCTCAGAGACTGACGTGTGGACTCCTTAAGCGGCCAATTCTGTGGTCTCCAGCTCAGGCCAGCGGGGACGGTCTCCAGGAGCAGCAGGTTGCCAGAGCCAGGGAGCCAGGGGCTGTGGGAGCACTGAGGATGGGGGCGTAAGTCAGGCTTCCCAAAGCCCAGACCTGTGGAACAAGTCAGAATTACAAACCAAACCCACGGCTGTCAAGTCGATTCTGGCTCATAGGTGGCACAGTGGTTAAAGCGCTCAGCTGCCAACCGAGACGTCAGTGGTTCGAAGCCACCAGCAGCTCCAAGGGAGAGAGATGTGGCAGTCTGCTTCCGTAAAGATTACAGCCTTGGAAACCCTATGGGGCAATTCTCTGTCTTATAGGGTCACTGTGAGTCAGAAGTCAGAATTAGCCAAGCAAAATCAGGGAGAGGGTCCCCAGCAGAGGGAACAGCCTGTGGAAAGGCCTGGCAGTGTGGGAGAGCCAGTGCCTCTCAGGGAACTGGCAGGAGTCCTGTCTGGTTAGAGCAGTGGTTCTCAGTGCTGCCAGACCCAGTGCCCCTCATGCATAATAAACACTTTATAATGCCCCTTTCCTATACTTAAGTGACATTTTTGGACTGTGTAACCTGCTACTCATTTAATTCCAAAAGTGATCAATAAGATGCTATAACAGTATAAAGGAGACATAAAGGAAGGAGGTAAAATTTTATATTGCAGTGTTGTAAACACTTGTCCATGCCTGCCCGAGAGGCCAGGATGAAATTGTCAGCTGTTTGCAGCAATGCTAGATTCACCAGTGACTGTGACAGCTACAAATGAAGTACTTTGTAGCTCGGGTATGGTGAGTGGTGTTGCCAGCAGTGCTGTTAGCTTCTAAAATGGTGACCAGCTCTCAGTAAAATTCTGAACAAAACAAATAACAGTCTTGCCTTGATTTTCATGGTTGTTAACATTCCTCTGTGTAAAAGAACTCTGAGTTGAAATTTCAGGAAATATTGAAACAATGCAGAAAACATCTGAGGGGTGCAGGACAGTTGCTCATTGTGAGGACTGATATACCCCCATGGCAGAACATCCAGCATCCCTGACCCCAGCTCACTAAAGGTAGTGACCCCCATTGTGCCACAGAAGATGCCCCCTAAATGCTCACAGTGCTACCTCAGGGCAGTGCCACTCCTGAGACCATGGGCTGGACTAGAGATTAGAGGGGCAGGAAGCTGGCGAGGTGGACAGGGCCAGGCTGTGTTTGCTCTCAATCTTGGTGCGGCGGGGGCCACCGGAGGGTTTTAAGCAGAATGATAAAGTGATCAGATTTGTGCTTCAGAAAGGTCGCTCTGGCTGTAGCATGAAGGAGGGACTGGAAGGGGTAAGAGTGAAAGCCAGGAACCTGGGGAGGAGACTGTGGCAGGAATCAGATGAGTGATGATGGAAGCCTGGACAAGAGAGGCATCTTTGGGTTGGAGACACGAGGCTGAACTTGATTGCTTCTGGGGAGCCAGAAATGGCAAGACGTGGGATGATGGGGAGGAAGCGGGAGCATTCTGGCTTGAGCAACGGGGGAGGGAAGGTGCCAGTTGCTGAGATAGGGACACGGAGGAAAGGGCAGGGATGACGGAAGGAGAGTGGAGTTTGAGATGTGAGAACACAGCACAGTGTGGCCCACATCCTCAGTATCAAGGAAGCTGCCAGAGGGGAGTGATCTGGCTGACCTCCTCACAGCTGTGTCTGCTACATCATTCCCAGTAGAGCCTTCTGAGGTTCCCTCCCCAGAGCAGGATGCAGCTGGACTTCAGGGATGCAGCGACGTCTGTGTCATGACTGGGGAGCTGTGGGCCCAGCACCTGCCCTTCCCTGACCTGGCCTCCCCTACCGTGTGCCAGCCACCCCGGCAGCAGTAGTGGCAGAGTCCCTGGCAGGACCTGGGCCCCAAGAGGCTTGATCCTACAGCAGACACAGTGCTAGCAGCTGAACCCTTATGTGCCAGGACTGCGCGAGCGTACCACATCCCTCACCTCACAGACTCCTCCCAGCAGCCTCATGCTACTACTGTCCCCACTTCATGGGGGAGAAATTTGAGTGCTGTTGCCTGAGGTCATAGCTGGTAAGTGACAGGGCCTGGAACTGAGCACAGGGCAGTGGCACCAGACCCCACATGATCATGCCTCAGAGTACCTGAGGGTCTGCTGTGTGCCTGCCTCAGTGTCGTGGGGTGTCTGAGTCAGTAGTCTGGATATGTGGTGTGATGTAGAAAAGGTTCCATTAGCTTTCTGTCTTCCTAACACATGAGGCCGCGCCATACACCTTGAAAGCCTAGTAGAGCAGGCAGCCGGCAGGACTAGTATCAAAAGACTTCTGAAATTCTTGGTGGCAGCCCTTGTAGGCACTGTAGAGCTACCAGCAGTATAAAGCCTGGTCTTTGCCTCTGGGGAGCTTGCCCTCTGCCTGTGTGGACATTTTAATAGACGTCGTCACTGCTTTATTGAAGTTGAGGGCCAGGTGCGTGTACCAACAGTTGAGTGCTGGAAATGAGAGGTGGACGGGACCACCAAGCCAGGAGTAGTCAGGGCAGGCTGCCTGGAGGAGGAGTCCTCGAAGCATGCATAGGACTTTCTTCACTGCCTTACCCACAGGAGGGTTCCACTGTGAGGGTCAGTTCCACGTCCCAGCCCTCACAGACAGGCCCTCACAGACATGCAGGTGCTCTCTCCAGATAAGAAGCAATAGGTAGGGAGTCTCCATATTCCTAACAGCACCAGGACTAGCTAAAATTGTTTGTCCTGTGTGCCTTTCCCCTGACTCTCCTGTGGGGATAAATACATACTTTGACCCCACCCACCCACCCCACCCCGGTCAAGGGGGACGAGGTCTTCTGTGTAAAAGAAACCTGAGTTCCTCAGCACGTGGTGGTTCATTGATTCATGTGGTGAAGATTAAGAGTGAGTTCTTTGCTGCAGCCTGTGCTAGACTCCATGATGCCACAGTGGCCAAGCGAGACAAGATCCCGGCCGGCAGCCAATGTCAGTCAGACGACCTTTCTGTTGCCGATCACCTCAGTGGTGCAGAGTCTCCTGTAAGGACGTTTGATGGGGGTGGGGCTCAGGGATGGCTGCCGGGAGGGAGGTGAGATTCACCCACTTTCTGAGTGCTTTCTTCATGCCAAGTCACAGCTGGGAACATAAGCCCTGTGGTTTCCACCCTCACAGATCTCTCCAGGGGATGCAAGGGAAGATGGGGAGTTAGCCAAGGTGGATGAGGGTGGGGCGCATGCTTGGTCCAGAGGAGCAGTATGGATGGAGCCTGGGGCAGGTGGGCAACAGGCTGCTGGGGCTGTGGCCAAGGTCATGGTCGTGGTTGGTGGGAGGCGTTAAGGAGTTTGAAGGGGTTTTGAAGAGTGCCAAGATCAGATTTGCATTTTAAAAGACTTCAGCTGCTATGGAAAGGGGGAGAGAGGAACTAGGGGGCTGGGCTCATTGCCTGGTGAGCTCTGCTGGGACTCAGAGGGAGGCAGAGGTGGGTCTGGGAGATGGAGCTGACAGGACTTGGCTGCGTGACTGTGCTGTGGTATGGGAATCGGGGCGAGGGTTGGCACCCAGGTGGCTCGGAGTGCCTGCCTTTGGCGTTCACTGGGGTGCACTCGACAGCAACAGGTTTGGTTTGGTTTGAGGTGCACTTGGGGCTGTCAAGTGGGGCTGAGCCTTTTGACCCAGGGGCCCATGAGCTGTCCTGGTGAGAATGAAGGTCTGAGCAGGGTGGCGTCAGCAGATGTCTTTCACGGGCAGGGCTTCAGTTCATGCTGTTGCTCAGCAACCAACCCTGAGTGCCTGCTCACACCAGGCTGAGCCAAGGGTGCAAAGATGGAGAAGCAGAGCCTCCCCTCAGAAAGCTCGCTGGGTGGAGGGCCGACCTCGTGGGCTCTCCTCGCTCTGTCACTGTGGTGTGAACATGGGACAGGAGCCTTGGGTAGACTTCCTGCAGGAGGCGGCACTTGAGCCGAGACTCAAATGACAAGGGCAGCCAAGCAGCAGAGGCCCTGCTGGGTGAGGGGTCTTCTTAGGTACTGTGCTTGGACAGACCAGCCCTGCCTTCTGTGAGGAAGGACAGGCTGTGACAGCCAGGGAAGCTCAGGCTCTGGCCGAGGCCCAAGATGCTGTTGGGCACTTGGCTCTGTCCTTGGCTCATCAGGAGCTGGCAGGGACCCACTGTCTGGGTGCCTTCCTCAGCCCTATTTTCCCAAGTGTCTTCTCTGACTTTGAAGACTTGGGTCAACACCTGAGTGCACCCAGCACCTTACCCCCTGAGTTGCTCCGATATGCAGCCACACCATGGCAGCGACCCTGTGTGGACCATGCTGGGTCTTCTCATCCCAGGATACACTTGGTGATCGCCCTGTGTAAAGACAGGTGTAGCAGTCTGGAAGGCTCTTTGAGGAGAGGAAGAGAGCAAAAGAACCCTTATATGGGCTGTTGCACTTGGGTCAGAGGAAGACATGAACCATAGCTCCCTCTCTTCTTCTTCCCTACAGGTCTGGCTCCCAGCCATGAAGGCCAAGGGGCTGGAGATCTCGGGCACTTTCACCCGCCAGGTGGGCTCCATCTCCATGGACCTCCAGCTGACTAACAAGGCCCTGCAGGTCATGACTGACTTTGCCATCCAGTTCAACCGCAACAGGTGAGCTCCCAGCTGCCCCCAGGGCTTGGCCAAGGCAGGTCCTCCCTACAAGGCAGCCTCCTCAAGGGAGGTCCACTGCTGACTGTGCAGGCAGGGGCTGGAGGGCCACGAAGGGCTGGTGAAGGTAGATGTTCCTCGCCACCACCCGTAGTCAGAGCTCTCAAGAACAGTGATTTTTTTCCCCCCAGTGGCCTCTTTATGTGGTCTCCAAGGTACTGAATGAAGAGGGGTGTGTTTTCTCTTTCTCCCTCTTTTTTGGCTTCTTCCAGTTCCCAAAGCAGCGTTTTACTAACAGAGCCCCCCAGCTCCAGCCTTTGGCAGCTACCTCGCCTATCAGGAGGGTGCCCATCCTGCACAGTTGGGAGCATGGAGCCACCTCTCCTGGGCCTGAATCGCTCCCCATCTCACATTGGAACTGTCAGAGTATAATGGATATTTCCAGGCTGGTGGGGGTGGGCCTGTCTGTCAGGCTTCTCACCCCGCTGAGTCCCCTACACTGTATGCCAGCAGGGAAGGGCACCTGTCTGGGCCCCATCAGGTCTTTTGGGGCCAGGCCATCTGGGCCAGGGGCCAAGGCCATGGCTCTCCAGGGAACCCAAGCAGCCTCTCCTGATGATCCTTCTTCCTGAGCAGCTCTAGTGATGAGCAAACTGAGCCTCTAAGAAGTTGACTGAAGGGGCTGTTTCCCAAGTGAGAGCCTGTGGGCCAATGGGTCCCCCCACCTTGGGTCAGTCCAGGAAGGATGGGTCAGCTCTGCCACTTACCCTCAGATAAGCCTGGAGGCCACAGGAATGCCCCAGGCTCCAAGGTGCAGTTGCCATGGTCATCGCTTATAACAAACTTACTGTGTGTTAGCACTTCTGGGTGCCAGGCCCTGTGCCCAGGGCTTTACAAACATTGTCTCACTTGAGCCATTTGACAATCCAGTGACATTGATGCCATTACCCCCTTTTAGTTGATACGGACGCCTAGGTTCAGAGAGGGCAGGGACACTGCCCAAGGTTGCCCACAGGCAGTAGTGGGGCCCCCGGGAAGGCCTGGAGGTCTGAGCCACCCTGAGGCCCAGGTATCGAGCTCTGTGTCTGTGCAGTGCCACTCACCCCATGGGTCCAGCACATGCCTGCCTCTCCCTGGGTCTCCATGTCATCTGGAAGGTGGGTGGTGTGTACTTGTTGCTGTTTTTACAAGGACAGGAACTGGTTGACTATCAGACGCCCAGCCTGCGCATAAATGGGTCCTGGGGCGTGGAGCTGGGTGAGGCTGGCTTGGTGGAGAGGCTCCCAGGAGCCCAAGGAGCCAGCTCACCAATTTCAACACCTGCTTTCCCGCCATCCCTGCGGGGGCTTCTCTTCCCAGCTTTGGCCTGGCCCCCGCCGCCCCCCTCCAGGTCCATGCGCCGCTCAGCCCCAACCAGACTGTGGAGATCTCCTTGCCTCTCAACACAGTGGGCTCAGTCATGAAGATGGAGCCTCTGAACAACCTCCAGGTGTGTTGCATGCCATACGCAGCCAAGCACCCAGTCCTGTCCACCACTAACTAGTCCCAGGGGAAGGCTGCCAGGTGGAGAGGCATGTGACGCAGCCAGTGTCAGCCATGGGCTGCATCCGTGGAGCCGTGTTCTTCGCCCCAGCTCAGAGAGGCTAAGGGGTGTGGTGACCAGGGAGGGCACATGAGAGAACCTGCTCAGGAGCCAGTCCTTCCTGGGGCCTCAGAGGAGGTGTCAGCAGAAGAACCAGGGTACCGAGCCCCAGGGACCAACCAGGGGCCCCCTTATTGTCGCCAGGTGGCCGTGAAGAACAACATTGACGTCTTCTACTTCAGCACCTTGTACCCACTGCACATCCTCTTTGTGGAGGATGGGAAGATGGGTGAGTTGTGAGGGATCCCTGGGGCCCCTGAACTGAGGCTGTGGCCCAAGGTGATGCCTTCCCAGGGAACAGATTGCCTCAGCCCATGATAGAGCCTGGGGCGAGGGCAGACATCTGTATGGGATGCCTCAGGGCTTTGTCTGGTCATCTCAGGTCCAGCTGGTGGGTTGTGCCTGCAGGAGCCCTGTCCCCAGGGCCATCACTCATGTGTTCTCCTGCCCCACCCCTCAGCCTAGCCAGCAGCCTCTGGACAGCGTCCCTTGGGGCTGTCTGTCCACAGGTTCCCCAAGGCAGGGAGCCCAGGTTCTGCCACACACCCATTGCCCATCTTCTCTGGGCGAGGGCTCTAGCTGGAGGCCCCTGAGGATTCAATCCCTGTGTGCTGCGGGCTCAGCCCTGCCCAGCGCCACGTGGAACACTGTCTACATCCCCTCACTCAGTCACCACTGGTGCCCTGGGCTGCAGGTGGTGTGCGTCTCATTTCACAGAGGAACAGTCAGACTAGAGAGGAGAGGTGACTGGCCAAGGACAGTGCACATCAGAGCTGATCAGAGGTCTCACTCACCACAGAGACTCCAAAGCCCTGAGCCTCACCCATGAGGGCCTTCCAGTCCAGTGGGAGAGGAAGGGATGAGATACTGCACACTGTTGAAAGACTCATCCCTCAGGCAGCCTGGGTGCCCTGCCAGGTTTCCAGAGTTCATGGGGGAGGAGGAAGGGTTTCTGTGGTAGATGGGAAGGAGAGATCCAAGTCCAGAGGCAGGGAAACCCATGTGGTGAGGTGCTGTTTTAGGAGGAGCTGGCACGGCTGGCCAGGGCAGGCCTGCCTGTCCTCTGCTTCAAGGTGGCACCCCACACCAGACTCACTTCATGCTCAGTGGTGGTGTTGAGTGGGGCCATAGCTCATCAGGGCCCCTCTCTTACCCCTACCCCACTGGCCCTCCAGACCGGCAGATGTTCCTGGCTACGTGGAAGGACATTCCCAGTGAGAATGAAGCCCAGTTCCAGATCAGAGACTGCCCCCTCAATGCAGGTGAAGAGTCTGAGCCCTCACCCCACCCTGGTCCACATGGCCCCTTTGGACCCAGGCCCCCATCGCTGACTGCAGGGCCTTCCTCTGGCCATCTGACCCCACAGAGGCTGTGAGCAGCAAGCTGCAAAGCAGCAACATCTTCACCATCGCCAAGAGGAACGTGGAGGGCCAGGACATGCTGTACCAGTCCCTGAAGCTGACCAATGGCATCTGGGTGCTGGCTGAGCTGCGGATCCAGCCAGGCAACCCCAGCCTCACGGTGAGACCCCACTATCCTGGCCAGGACAACCCCTCCTGCCTCTCCCTCAATCCTGGGCCAGACGTGGGCTCTGGCGGAGACACTCTAGCCTGACTATGCTGGGAGACATTGTACCAAGGGTCCTTCGAGCCTGGCGTGAACAAGAATCAGAATCCTATCCCTGGAAGGGATCTTAGAAAGTTTCCAACTCAACCCCATCAAGTTACCAAAACATGACACCAAACTGGGCCTCAGAAGTTGGACTAGAAGATGCTGTAGAATTGGGTCCTGTGAAATGGCGCAGTTGGCCTGAGGCCCTGCTGGCTGGGCAGTGGCACTGCTGGGTCGGCCCTGCCCACCTCCCATCCCTGCCTGCTGTGGGCCCAGGGGAAGGACGCTGTTCCCAGCAGGCCATCCTGCCTGGCTTTGAGTCTGAGCCCAGTTGGGAGGCAGTGTCCTTGGAGCGCGTGGTTGTCCTGGGGTCCATGCTGCCCTTCCAGAGGCCTCTCAGAGCCCCCAGCTTTGGGTCCCCCATGCCCCTGGTGTCCTCTGGCAGGCGCACCCCTCCAGCCACTCCTCCCCAACCCACTGCAGCAGTCACACTGATGGGTTGGGGCTGCGGCGGCAGCTTCGGTGGTGGTAATCTCCGTCTCCCTGTGTTTGGTTGCTGCATGCCCACCCTCCCTGCTGGGTGGCTGCGGTGCAGGACTTGGAGGTTAGCAGATTGCTTTTCTCTCCTCCTCTTCCCGCCTCCCCAGCCTTGTTGTGCACACTCATCTCACGGCTTGGCTCTGGGGCACCCCCAGCCCTCCTGGCCTCACCTTGCTGCTCCCCATTGCCAGGCAGGCATGCATGCTGGCCGCAAACCGGAGGGGCAGGCTGTAGCCTCTCCTGAGACCCCAGATGCTTTCCCACCAGTGGCCCCCAATGAGATGCGCTGGCACCCCCACTTACCAGCAGACAGGGGACCCCAGAGGGCCTTCATTGCTCACTCTGGAGCTCCACTTTCCCCTTCCCCCCTTCCTAATTGCACCCTTCAACACCAGTGATTTTAAGTGGAAGGGTGAGTGGTGCTTCTCAGCCTGTAATCTCGAGGTTCATCCCTCAATTAGAGCTGAGTCCAAGTCTCTAACATACCTGCTTCGTATGCAGGAAATCAAGGACTAACCACCAGCCACTCGCCATCACCCTGGGCAGGGACCTGCACCCCTCCAGCACCCCCCTTCCTCCTCAGGGTTTCCTGTCCAGTTGGGCCCAGGGACCCAGAACTCCAGGGATGGGGTGGGCTCTGCCGGTGTGGGTTGGGGCTGGCACGCCTAGCGGCCCAGCTTATGAGTCATGCTTCTTGCCAGCAGCGATCTGGTGGCTGAGCTGACAGCAGGTGTGTGGGCTGCAAGTATATTTGGTCCACACTCGGCTGCTGCGACGGGCACCCTTCTGCTTTACCACACATCTGCCCAGCCATAGCTGTGCCGCCACCAAGCCTTGTGCACGTGTGCCACGCTCTTCCATCTGGCTTTCGCTGTCTCTTCCCTCCCGGCATGTTCGTTCCCGCCTGGTTCCTGATTGCCCAGGCAGGAGCCTCTGAGATGACCCCCCTTTTCCCCACTGCAGCTGTCCCTGAAGTGTCGAGCACCAGAGGTGTCCCAGCACGTGTACCAGGCCTACGAGACCATACTCAAGAACTGAGATCTGCCCAGCGCCTGCTGCCACCCAGGCTGGCCCACCCCTCCTCCTGGAGTGAATCTCTGTGCACTTCCATGCTCTGTGATCCCCTTTTAAGTTGCTGCTGACGTTTAGGGTCAGGTGAGGAGGGGACCAAAGGAATCAGAGCCAGAGTGGCAGCAGAGACTAGCCCAGGGAGACCCCAGGATTCTTCGCATCCCTTCCTCATGCCTGGATGGCAAGTGCGGGGTTGTCTCCTCAGGCTCCAGCCCCGGGAGCCTCTCAGTCCCTCTTGAGTGGGTGTTAGAGGCCCTCCCACCGCCACCCCGTGTGAACTGAGCCCTGCCAGCCTGTCCTTGGGTGTGTGTGAAGAGTCCACTTGGTACCAGGAGAGCTGCTCTGTCGGGCTGGGATCCAGGGTGTAGGTGCCATCAGGGACAGGGCTACACCTTCTTACCCTGCCCAGGCCTGCAGTGTCTGAGACTCAGCAGAAGCTCCCAGAGCCCCTGACCTGGGACTCCTGCTCCCCAGGCAGCTGCACTGTCCGACCCCCACCCCTGAGGACGGTCACTGCCTACCATGCATTCCTCAATGTCCCCTCTAGCAGAGTCCAGGGCTCGTGGAGCCAAGACAGGGCCAGAGGGACTGGGGCAAAAAGGTGTGCTTCCTGTTTGGAGTTTGTTTTGGGGTTTCTCTTTAGTGTCTGCTCCCCTCTTCCTGGCCTCCCAGTTTCAGTTGTGTCTGACAGAGCATTAGGTTTTCCTGTTACTGCTGTTTAATAATAAAGATTCTGCTTTTGGCAGTCACGGACACTTTTTTCCTCTCCACCAACTGTCAGAATTGGAGAACTGAATGGGATTGCCTCTGAGTGATTGGGATGGTTTCTGACCCCTGCAGTCACTAGATCTAATATATATAAAGAGACTATATATTGTATGTTTACTTTCATTTTCAAAAAGAGAAAGTGAATAAAAATGATGGCGACAAGTGTGTCCCTGGCCAGTGTGTCAGGTCCTGAGGCTCCTTTGGGCAGCATCCAGAGCTGCTCTGCCTCAGGGTCAAGGCCTTGAGCCCCAGCTCCTCCCCAGCATTCTGAGGAGAGCATGCCCTCCATCCTATCCTTGGAAACTGACTCCTGAGACTGTTGGGCTCCTTGGCACCTCTCCTGCCACCGATCCCAACTCTTCCCACCCCAGCTGACACCATCTCATCTTGTGATGCTGGCTATGAGGACCCAGGTTCCCATTTTGGCTTCCCCAGCTCCCTGCCGTCTAGAGGCTTGGAGCCTGGGAGGGGTTCTGATCAGAGACAGCTAAGAAAGAGCAGTGGACAGGCTGTGCCAGCCCTTCTTCCAGTGACTGAGTGCCAGGTCTGGCAGGGCAGGCTGTTCCCCACCTGGCAACAGCCACTGTCTGCAGGGTACTAAGCTGACAGCCACCACCAAGGACAACCCATGTGGTCCCAGACCTGGCTCTGACCACGTTACCAGGGGAAGATAGCCAGACCCGGGGTAGGTCTGTGTGGCAGAACTGCCCATAGCGTGTCAATACCTCCTTCGACCTGAGAGACCTTCAGCCTGCTTCTGAGGAAGGTGCAGCCCGGGTACCCCCATGCCCTGTTTTGCCCCAGCCATGCCCTTGTGCTGTGTCGGCACTTGGCATCCTGCACCCCTCCAGATCCTGCCACCCTCCCACAGAAGCTGGCAGTGGCAAGGGCACTGACCCTGGGGGTGTCACCATGCTGCCTGGGGACCACCGAATCCAGAGCCAACCAAGGCCCTTGATGGCACAGCCTCGGTTCTCACCTCATCTGAAAGTCTCCGGGCTCGGAAGGCTCATCGCACACAGCTGGAGTGCCCGGCCGGCCGGCTGTGAACTGGAGGAGCAGAGCTCTGAGCCCTGGATGAGGGGACTCATCCACCCTGGCCTGCCCTGTCACTGCCTCTGATCCCTTGTGAGTGCACTGCCTGGGGAGCAGCTGCTGGGGGCACTGTCCCACAGCCTGCCAACTCAGTCACCCAGGGGGCCCCACAGAACCACTGCCCACCCCCCTCCCTCTGCCCCCAAGGGCAGGAGAATTGAAGTGTAGCATAACTCCCCCTCTTGAGTAATGATGGGGAAATTGAGGCCCAGGAGAAACCACTTGGGGTGCGGGAGGGACCTGGGAGAAAAGGTAGGCTGGCCCTTTTGGAAGGATGGCCTTGGACCATCCTTAAGACATCTCCTTGGGTTCCCTTCCTCATTCAAGCTGATGCCTCAGGTGATCATGGGTGGGGCCTTGCCCCCACACAGCACCTGGCATGGTGGGACCCAGCATACACCGCAGAGGCCCCGTTGACACAGGGAGAAACTGAGGCAGGCAGAGGGCCTTCACACTGCCAGTTTCTCAAGCCTGGGGCACTGCAGGTGTGGGAGTGTGGAGCCTTGCCACACTGAATTGAGAAACGCACACCCGGTGCCATTTGGGCCCAGGCCTTCAAGAGAAGTGCTTTCGGGGATATCAGACTGGTGTCCAACTCCTCTGTGCCGCCTCCCTTAGTGTCTCTGAGGGGCCACCAATGCCACCTCTCACCCTCCCCAAGGCACGCCCTTGTTCTGATGGGCACAGGCCTCCCACGTCTCAGGGCCTCGACATCCTGCAGCTTGGGCAGCTGCCTCGCCCCCCTTTTTTTTTTTAAATTGTGTTAAAAATATATGTAATGAAACAGTTGCCATTTCAACATTTTTTACATGTACAATTCAGTGACCCTAATTATGTTAATCATGTTGTGCAACCATCATCTCTGTCCATTTCCAAATTTTTCCATCACCCTTAGCATACCCAATCCTCTTTAAGCAGTAAATCCCCCTTTCCTACTCCCTCCCTACCCTGGTTACCACTAATAAACTTTGGTCTCTACACATTTGCCTATCCTAGATATTTCGTATAAGTGGGATCATAACAATATTTGCCCTTTTGTGTCTAGCATCTTTCACTTAGCATAACGTTTTCAAGGTTCATCCATTTCATAGCATCCATTGTATCGGGACTTTATTTCTCGTTATGGCTGAATAACATTCCATTTTGTTCATTCACCTGTTGATGGACGTTTAGGTTGTTTCCACCTGGCTATTGTGAATAGTGCTGCAATGAACATTAGTATACAGGTATGAGTCCCTGTTTTCAATACTTTTGAGTATATACCTAGCACTTTTCTTTTCTTAGCTAACAGTCATTTCTGGAGATCTTTCCATATCGATACATATAGACCCACCTCAGTATTCTTTGGATTATCCACTGCTACCACGCTCCTGTTAGCACCTTGTGGGAATCCAGGCCATGCTGCAGTGCGTATCCTCCTGCATCCATTCTTGCTCACGGGCACAAATGGAGTATCTAACCCCAGAATTGCTGGGTCCAAGGGTATAAGCATTTTACATTTTAGATTTGATTTCTTGTTTTAGAAAGTAAGATGTTCACATGGTTCAACACCCAAAAGGCAAAAAAGGGTAGAAGTGAAAAATGTCTACTCTTTCCCTCCTTCCTCTCCCCAAAGGGAACCAATGTAACTTTCCAAAAAGACTCACTTATGTCTGATAGTGTTTTCTCCCCTACTTACAAATGAATGCATGAAATACACGTGATTCTGCACCATACTTACAGTTTGGGTGTTTTTCCATTATCTGTCCATTATAGAGAGCATCCTCGCACTGTTTTTTTAACAGCTGTGTGGTATTCTACTTAAAGGAAGTACCATCATTAATGCATCCCTAGCAATGTACAATTGGTTCTAAGGTTTTGCTAGTACAGGTGTTACTGTTTATCACTTTGACACGTAGATAAATTCCTGAGACTACATTGCTGGATCAAAGGTAGGTGAATTTGTAATTTTAATAGCCTTTGCTGCAATGTCCTCCAGTTTACACTGCCACCAGCAATCGGTGAGACCCATGTTTACCCAAAAATCCATGGAGTCGATTCCAGCTTAGAGTGAATCACCCTAAACTCAGAGTATTATCGGACTTCTTGATATTTGCCAAACTAATGGGTGAAAAATGACAATTTATTGTGCTTTTAAATGTGAGTCTCTTCATATGTTTTAATTTTATTGTGGTAAAATATATATCACAAAAAAATGTATCATTTTAACCATTTTTAAGTGGACAATTCAGTGACATTAATTACATTCACCATGTTGTGTAACCACTACCATTATCTATTTCTAACAGTTTTTTAACACCCATACCCCAAACAGAAACACAGCACCCCTTAAGCAATAACCCCCATTTCTCCATCTCTGAGCCCCTGGTAACCGCTAATCTACTTCTATGCATTTGCCTATTCTAGATATTTCATGTAAAAGGGATCATACAATATTTGTCCTTTTGTGTCTGACTTATTTCACTTAGCACGTTTTCAAGGTTCATCCACGTCATAGCATGTATCAGGACATTATTTCTCTTTATGGCTGAATAATATTCCATTTTATGGTTATATCAAATTTTGTTTATCCATTCAGCTGTTGATGGACTCTGGGACTGTTTTCACCTTTTGCCTACTGTGAATAAAGCTGCATTGAACATTGGTATATAAGTACCTGTTTGAGTCCCTGCTTTCAAGTCTATTGGATATATACCTAGGAGTAGAACTGCTGAGTCATATGGTAATTCTATGTTTAACTTGAGGACCTGCCAGATTGTTTTCCTCTTCTCGTATGTTTTTGAGCCATTTGCACGTCGTTTACTGTGAGCTGTCTTCGTATTCTTTGCCAATTTTTCTATTTGGTCTTTTTCTTATGGGTTTGTCATTAATTTTTCCCATTTTGTTATGCTTTTTACTCTTTCATGCTGGAATTGTTTTTTATATAGCTTTGTTTTCATCTTTTCTTCCTGGTACTTGTATCTTATTTTTTGCGTTGCAATTCTGATCCATCTGGGCTTTATTCTAGTGTTAGGAATGAGGTAGGAATCCAACATTCTCTTTTCTCCAGATGGTTACCCAGTTGCTTAAACGCCATTTATTGAATAATTCATCTTTTCTCCCACAAATTTGAAATGCCACTTTAATCATATATTTAGGTGTAATTTTGGACTCTTCTGTACAAGGGAATTTGAATATTCGCTGACCACTACCTTTTTAAAAAAGTATTGTACCTTTTGATATTTTATAATTTTGGTAATTTATGTTGTTATGCTGTTAGGTGCCATTGAGTTGGTTCTGACTTACAGTGACCCTGTGTACAATAGAGTGAAACACTGCCTGGTCCTGCACAGTCCTCAAAATCATTGATATGCTTGAGCCCATTGTTGCAACCACTGTGTCAATCCATCTCACTGAGGGTCTTCCTCTTCTCTGACCCTCTACTTTACCAAGCATGATGTCCTTCTCCAGGGACTGGTCCTTCCTGATAACATGTCCAAAGTACGTGAGAGGAAGTCTCACCATTCTTGATTCTAAGGAACATTCTGGCTGTACTTCTTCCAAGACAGATTTGTTCGTTCTTCTGGCAGTCCATTGTATATTCAATATCCTTCGCCAACACCATAATTTTCAAAGGCATCAGTTCTTCTTTTGTCTTCCTTATTCATTGTCCAGCTTTCACATGCATATGAGGCAATTGAAAACACCAGGCTTCGGTCAGGCGCACCTTAGTCCTTAAAGTAACATCTTTGCTTTTTGACACTTTAAAGAGGTCTTTTGCAGCAGATTCGCCCAATGCAATGCATTGTTTGATTTCTTGACTGCTGTTTCCATGGGCGTTGATTGTGAATCCAAGTAAAATGAAATCCTTGACAACTTCAATCTTTTCTCTATTTATCATGATGTTGCTTATTGGTCCAGTGTGAGGATTTTATTTTCTTTATGTTGAGGTGTGATCCATACTGAAGACTGTACTGAAGGTGGTCTTTGATCTTCATCAGTAAGTGCTTCAAATCCTCTTCACTTTCAGCAAGCAAGGTTGTGTTATCTGCATATTGTAGGTTGTTAATGAGTCTTC